GAAAAGAAAAAATACCTACGTTGGACAATGAAAAATAGATTGTCAGCTAATTATTAAATAAATTATAAATTTGATGATTTCTTCTAAGATAGTGATTTTTTTTTTGTTCATATGGATTCTTCAAACCAAGAGAATATTATTTTGTTTTCAAGTTTCAATAGAAGGGGAGAAATTTTTTTTTTTTCAAAAACAAATGTAAGAAACAGAAATGAATTTGAGATAAGAAGAACATAAAGGATTATGAACTAAAATTTGGCAATTAATATCCATTTAAGATATCACTTGTATGAATGAATGTACCTACAAACCTTTTAAAAACCCAAAATGCCAAAAGATCTAAATCTGATATAACAAATGTAATATTTTTTAAAAAATAAATTCAATTAAAAAATGATTGATAATTAGAATCGATCAACGAAATGAATGAGTTTTGTTAGAGAAAATATTTATTTAAATATAATCTATAAAAAAAATGCAGATTCAAATTAAATTTTTAATATTATTTTTTTAACTTGAAATAATCATGGATTTTATAGTTTATCATACAGTGATAATCTTTTTAAATGAGTTGTTTATGGGTTAAGGGATATGAAAACCAAAAGGGAAAGATAAAATATTTTAATTGGAACTATTGTACCTTTGATGAAATATTCTTTACGAAAATGTTGTCGAAGAAGAAGTTACTCAATAGATCGTTGGTTGAACCTAAAACGAAAAAAACTTAAATTTAATATAAAGAATTATTTAAAAAAAAAAGAGTGAATGTGTTTTCTCAGAGAATGAAATTGAAAGCACATTTATTTGTTTTTAAGCTGTAAAAACTCTTTCGAAGGTTCATTATCTCTTGAATAAGGAAAAAAATAATTATTTTTTAAAATAAATGAAAGAAAAATACATGTATCGAGAAGGTAATAGGCTAGGAATGGAAGATGAAGCATTCTAAATATTAAACCCTAAGGGATGAAAAACATAGAAAGGGGATGATTAAACTTGAATGATTTGGCAATTTAAAATAAATATATAGTAACTTAATGTCTTATATGGCAAATGAAGGTTGTATATGTTAGTAATCTACGTATCATAATTTTAGATAATAAAAGATAAAAGTATATGTATGTTAAATATGAAAAATTATTTTTTCATATCATTGAAAAACTAAAAATGCACGTAATTGTCCAAGCTTTTGATAGAGAAATCTAAGGCTGAAAATGTACAAAATGGGTATGACCAAAATGGATGTTACCCTCATAAAGTTCGATTAAAAAAAAAAAAGACATGCTTCATATTTGCCTTGTTGAGCTCAATTATACATTTTTTATTTAAAAAAATTCAAAATTTATTATTATATACTAATTATTGAATAAATATTTGGACGCTAACACTAAATTCAAATATTTTTATTTTTCCAACTAATTACATGAACCCTCTCATTATTATTTTACTTTTCAAAAAATCATTGAGGAAACATTTCTCTGATTATATTATTTAATAAAACAGAATTTAATTTAATTAATTCATTTAATTATTAAAAAAAACTCAGTTTTTATAATTTTCCACAAGTTTTAATTTTTTTATTAAAAAAATAAAGAAAGGAGTTTCCTTTCTTTTTTATTGTATATAAATCCTAGTTTTGGACATTTGATACATATAAAATAAAGAGCTGAATTATGTTGGTCATGGTCTTGCCAGAGCACCTGAAAAGAAGAAAAAAACCAAAAGAAAACAGCGAAGGCGACTGATTGTGGGGCACTAATTAAGTCATGCAGATGCAAAATTTAGGAAACCAATGGCTTTTTATGCTTGTCCAAGGCACATGCGAGGAGGAGCAGAGCCGGGCCGAGCCACCTCCCCCACCCCCACTCTATGAAATAAAAGCAGTGAGAAAGATGGTCCATCACTCATTTACCAACTCCATCGGTGACTTCACTCACGGCCCATATGAGACAACAAGCTGCCTCCCCTCCTCCCCCTACATGTTTTCGCAACCCCTAAACCCTTACACGAGAAAAAAAAGAGATCTTAGATCGAAATTAAAATTTTTATATTTTTATAAAGTTTCTTTAATCACTAGATCAAGAGGTGAAAGATAACCTTTCCTTTCTTTATATACGTAAAAAACTGGTTTGGAGTTAAAATTTAAATATAATATTTAATTTTAAAATAAAAATTAGAATTTAATTAAATAATTCATTAATTTTTTAGAAGGTGAATTTTAATAAGATTTGGGTTTCATTTCCAACACAAATTTTTGTTTTTGATTTTTCTTAAGTTTTGGTTTTCTTTTATAAAAATTTTTTTTTGTATAATTTTAGTTTTCGAGATAATTAAACGTAGACAACTAATTTCATAAGATATGAGAGTAAAAAAGTCTCAAATTTGATTCATGAAAATCTTTTTCATTTGTTATTTTAAATTACATCATTCATTTGACATGCATTTGAGTAGATGTTTTAAAATTTTAAATATAATAACTGAATCATTTCTTATCAATTTAAATTTTTGACATAATCTACCACCTAATTTAACAAATATTAACAAGAATCAAATACTGTTTAAAAGGGAAAAAAAATGAAGGGATATGTTAAATTTATGATTATGGCAATAATAGTTATGATAATCTTAATAATAAGCTAATCACAAGTGTAAATAATAATAATAATAATAATAATAATAATAATAATAATAATAAGGTTTATATTTAATATATTGTTAATATATATATATATATTCTATGCACAATAAATAATTTATATGTGATATACTATTAATATATATATATATATATATTCTATGCACGATAAATGCATTAGACATTGCCATTTCATTAATATATAAATTTTAAAAATTTAAAATCCTTCGAAAAAAAAATAAAAAATTCAATAATTACTTTTATTCAATTAATAAATTTAATTTTTTAAATTTATAAACTATTGAAATGATATTATATTATGCATTGATAGTATATAGGATATATCAATAGCGCATAAATTATTATTATTATTATTAATTAATAGATGGTAAGTTGGCCAAATGTACTTCTCTCCAAGCCTTTGGAATCTATTGGCATCATCGATATTGTTTTTGTTTTCAAGTGACTTTTTAGTTAAATAAAGAAAAAGTTTTATTTGTGATGCTTTCTTGTCGACCATTAATCACTACATCCTTATACTATCAAAATCTAAAACCAAAACCCATTGTTAATCACATGCATTGGATGCAATTTAAAATGATGATAAATAGAAAATGACTGGTTAGCACCATTTTTGTTTTTATTTCTCTTCCTATCACATTTAAGAGATTGATGAAAATAACCCCCAAAATAAATTTGTTTTCTATTTTAAGAGGATACATGGGCGTAGAGAGAGTTATTTTTTTTTCTTTTTCTTTTTTATATTAATTTGTGGCTGCTTTTTCCTTGCTTGGTTTTAAAGTTATTCAAGATGATTAAAGTGAAGGGTGTTGTTGGGTGGAATAAGATTCACATAAAATAGAGGACCACCAAAAAAAAAAAAAAGAAAGCATATTTTTCAAATTTCAAATAATTTTTATACCAAATTTTCATCTCTATATTATGTTCCAAGTTCAAAGAAAAATCATCATATATAACTTAATTGGAAAGTGTCTGCCAAAGTTTGATTCAACATTTTATTTATTAGATAAAAACTTCATAATTTGAATTAGTTTTGATGGAATTAAGTTTATCAATAAATTTGTCTAAGGGTCGAGTCAACTAAGGTTCGATTGGTTTTTTGAAAGGTTTTCTTAAAGTTCAATCTTAATAAGGTTCAATATTTTTAAATTCATAAAATATTAAAAATTTTGAAATTTTAAAATTAAAATGAAATAAAAACAAATTATATTAATAAAATAAAATTTTGAATTAAATCAAATTTGAACTTCAAAATTAATTTCTAAGATTTGACTAAAGCCAGATACTAATTGAGCGAATCGGTCAATCTATGAATAGATCCATTAACCCATAACTCTTTCATCTTAGATGCTATATAATATTATTATAGACATGAAAATGGGATGTAACCCAAAAATCCGGCATAGAGTTGGTTGAGGTTTAGATGATCAGATTAGCTCATTAGATTAACAATATTCACTTATCATTTTTGGAGCAAATTGTTATAATTGTTAAGTTGGTGGAGATAATTATCAAATTTATCTCTTAATTTTTAATCTGGATGTTTGACTCAATAGTCCAAGATAAAACATATAAGAAAGAGTATATAAATATATTGATTTCAATATCTATAAGATTTGTTTGTTAATGGGATTGATTGAGCTATTACGGATTGGATTAGAGATAATAATTTAAAAAATGATACGAAAAAGATACAAAATTAATACGAGTTAAAATTTTAGCAAAAACTCATATGTGAATTTAATAAAAATAAAAAAATATATTTTGTATTTTTCATATAAACATAAATTATAATATATAATTTTTGTGTAAAATATAATACAAAGATATAAATTATCAATATTTTATATAACACAAAATGAATTATCAGCTCCAAATTGAATGCTTCATTTATAAAATCTAAGTTTGATTCTCGTTATCAATAATTTCTTTTATGTATAATTTGTAAATTTAATATAAATTTTTATTCAAATCTATATTATAACCTAACTTCAGAATGAAATAATCTCTACTCCTAAATTTTTTAGGAAAAAAAGTACACAAACATTTCTAATATTAAATTTTTGTTTTATCGAAAATTAAAAAAATGCCCTTCTTTTAACTTTTTCTCAGGGTTTAGAATTTTGGATATTCCATTCCACCATTCTGTATAAGCATTGGATGCTCCCTCTTTTGAGTAGCCAAAGTCTTTTGAAAGGACAGAGAAAGAAACGCATTAGCTCCCAATAGTTCATTACACTCAAACAAGGAAAATAATGGAAGTTAATGGGGTTGAAATGTACTACTTTACTTTTTTGTTATGTATGAGTTGGCTAATGGGAGAGGTAGAGAAGTGGAACTATAACTCATTGAAATTTATTGCCACAATCGACTTTTCTTTTTGCTTTCAACATATCAAATTATCAACGTAAAAGCATTTAGAACTTGTTGTGGTGGTGGCTTTGTTGGTGGCTACCATTGCACAAGCTAACCTTTTTTTTTTTCTCTCTTTTTCATATGCTTAAGCTAACTTTGCTGTTCAATCAAGGAAAGTTTACGAGATTTAATTAAAGTTATGGTATTTATTTCGGAAATTATAACAATTTGAAGTGATCTAACACAACGATAATTAAATTGTAATATCATAATTTCAAATTAGATACATTTCAAATTAATATTTTATTTATTTATTTTTGATTAAGTAATAAAATATTGTTGAATTTTATCCGTTACATTTTTTTAGATGAATTTAAACAAATTTATTTGTATCAAATTTAACGAATTAATGAAAAAAATTTTTATACAACGTCCTAATAAATTCGAAACTAGACAATAAAAAAAGAAACAATTTTTTTTTATCACTTGAGCTTACCATTCGACGGTAAATAATAAACATTTTAACATTTTTGTTAAGACTGAAAATTTGATAAGCACTTTGGAAGATGCTTTATCTAGGTGTCGACATCATTGAGAAAAAAAAAAAAAGAACGAGCTCGTGATATGTCTTGATCCTCCTTTTAAGACAAGATAGATATCTGGTTAGAGGAATAAACAAAGGGATTGTGAAGCAAATGGACATTTCTACCAATCTAATCATTGTTGGAAGAGTATAAAAATATTAAAGAAAACCCTTCACTAAGCCGTCTTTCTAATCAGGATTAACCATGTAAACAGCACCTTTGAAAAATCATACCAAAACTTTATTCAAGGTTTGTCGCCTTTTGGATTGAAAAAGGACGATCCAAGAATTGCCCTTTGGTGCAATTGTTACGTGCGCGATTTATTATACTTTAATTACTATTTGACCTATTGTTTTTGTAATTGTATTTGGGCTTGTTTATTATTGTAGGCTTATAGGCCATTTTACTTTTGTTTCATTTTCGTTTGATTGTTGCTGTTGTAAGGAAAAAAAGAAAAGAAACCGGAAGTGTGATGAATTCGAGAATTTCGAAAATTCAGCTGGAAAATAGTCATCCAGTATAAAAGGAGAGCTAAGGGAATATTGTAATATTCATACTGCTTGTTAGTAAAATTAATAGAAACAGAAATAACAAGAGAAAAAAAAATATGACTTTGAGGTATGAATAATATTATTTTGAAAACAATTTTGCTTATAAGATATAATAAAGCCTTAAAATTCTCTATATCAAAAGTAATAAAATTAGTCAAACAAAAAAATTTATTTATAATAAATGAACAATCACCAATCAAGTTAAATGATTTAACTTAATTCAATACTTAATTATTTAAATAACATAAGTGATTTTTTTTAAATTATATATAAGTGATCTTTTTATTTAACGTGAGATTCACCGCATTCTAAACTACTAACACTGTTATGTTGAAATACACTTATCTTTATCGTTCAAACATTCTCTGTTTCTTTTCTTTATAACAGTCTTTGCTCCTACCTCTCTAATTTCTTCCTTATTTTTTCCATAGGGACTTCTATTTCTATTAAGTAAATTTTTGTTCGTAACATTAGTATTAGAGCTTCTATTTTGGCCATGGAAGAGGGTGCGAAGGTCAGATTTTACATTGACAACACTCCGCTATGTGAACAAAGGGAGCACATGGGTTTCAAGTTGGACAGTATATATGTTTGAACGGTTGCATGAAGGTGTTCGATCCAACTTGAAAAGTTTTAGTTCTCATCTTAACCATTTATCTGCTAGACTGGACGATTTTAATGAAATGGTGAGTGACTGCGGGGTAAACATGGAGGAGAACCAGCAAATGGAGCAAAAACCATCCATAGAGTCAACCACCAGTATGTCCTTCTCTTCCCTGTCCTCAAATACTGATTTACCTGAGGTAAGTAAGTCTTTGTACTTTACTTACAGGTGTTAGTAGCCTTTAAAATTTTAATGAATTTAAATATGATGAATTATCTAGTGAAGTGGATATCAAATGTGTTAGATGTTCAAATGCTAGTGCTTTCATGGTAAGAAATGTGCAGATATTTGTTGCTTGGAATAGTGTTCGGTATGTTGGGGTAGTATATTCTGAAAATCTAGCAAAACCTTGTGCGTTGAGGGCAGTTGATGTAAGTGGGAAGCGAGAAAGGAATTATCATTAATCGTTTTGACTAATGATGCATGGGATCCTTGATGAGCTAGAAGAAAGTTAGAAGAGGGTATTGTGCCAAGTAGTGGTGATATTTTTCTGTATACATCGCAAGAGTTAGACAAGCTACCTACAAACAACTTTGACTAGAAAATTGGTGTTCAAAGTATACAAAGATTGTTTTGCTTATTAGTGACAATAAACTCAAGTTGGCTCTTTGTGTCGACTTCGATCCAACTAAGTATATATTTAATGGAAGTGGAAGATTTTAGAGGAATTGATATTGGCGGCCCAAGAATGTGTTTTCGTGAACATTGATAGTGAGTTTGATCTGGAGCATATTGTATCAACTACAAGAATACTTGGAAGGAAGGTTAATATTTTGCTTCGCATCAATCCATATGTGGATCCTCAGGTCCATCCATATGTTGCTACTGGAAACAAGAACTCTAAATTTGGCACCAGGAATGAGAAGCTGCAGTGGGTTCTGGATGCTGTAAAGGCACGCCCTAATGAGCCAAAGCTTGTAAGGGCCCATTGTCACCTTGGTTCAACCATTACCAAGGTAGAAATATCCAGGGATGTTGCAGTTCTTATGGTCAACTACACAGAGAAATTTGTTCTCAATGTTTTGCTACTGGAAACAAGAACTCTAAATTTGGCACCAGGAATGAGAAGCTGCAGTGGGTTCTGGATGCTGTAAAGGCACGCCCTAATGAGCCAAAGCTTGTAAGGGCCCGTTGTCACCTTGTTCAACCATTACCAAGGTAGAAATATCAAGGGATGTTGCAGTTCTTATGGTCAACTACACAGAGAAATTTGTTCTCAATGTTTTGAAGTTGATTATTCTCGAGGCGCTCCTCACAAGAACCGAATTTTACTATGAAATGCCATCAAATGATAAACATAATACATAATGTTCTGCCTTGTTTGCTGTGTTTCCATTGGTCAATTCTTCCAATTCACGGCAACTCGAGCAATATTATTGGTATATATATATATATATATATATACAACTCGAGCAATATTATTGGTATATATATATATAGTTGTATATATATATATATATATGTCAAATAAGTAAACCTATTATCAATCAATTAGGGCTCCTCGTTAATTGGAAATTTTGTTTTATTACATTATTATTTTCTGGTTAGACTAAACAACCAATCTCATTGATTAGCCACAGGATATGCTCTTGGTTGCATTGGCTGAAGATTCCCTGGTAAATTTCTCAACCTTCAATGCTTTGCAAATGAGTGCTTCAACTATTTTCCTGCTCTCTAACCCATAAAAGGTATGCATGGGATTATGCCTAAGGAGAATCTAACAGCAGCAAATGGCAATAAAGCCTATAGATATCATGTTCAGAACAACATATTGACAGCAAGAAGAAAGATCAGCATTGGAAGGGGTAAGAGTATATTTGATGAGGAAACTATCTGCACAACCTTCCCCTCAGTCCCATCATCGAATGAATCTGATCTATTTGCCCTGCATTTCCCATGTGATCAATGCTGTAACTGATTAGGATTCATACAAAATGAAATTCCATTCAGCTTAATGTTAAAAACATCAAATTTATGGAAAGAAAGCATAAAATTTTAGTTAAACTAATAGATAAAGCTTTTTGATGGTTGTTTTTTGGATTAATATGTAATTTGACACTTGAATTATAATACTTTTAATTATTTGGTACCTATAGAAAAAAATTTACAATTAAGTATCCGAACTTTATTTTGGTTAAATATTTTATACAATTGATTAAAATAATTAATCAAAATGTAGACATGAAAAATATTTATCAATAAATGTGTCAGTTGTGATGATATTATTGATTTTTTTTATCATGTCAATTTACCATTGACAGAATTAATATGTGAAGTAAAATGTTTAAACAAAATAAAATTTAAATAATTATAAATTTTTTTTATAAATACCAAGTGATAAAAAATAGATTCAAAGGCTAAATTATACATTAGCCTTTATATTTTTTCACAGAATTCTTCGGCCATCACTTTGATGGCAATAAGGGGGAGAAATACCTTAGAGAATTAGGGCAGAAAATGATGACATAGTCATAGGCCTTGCAAGTGAAAGTGCTAGTACCATCATCAAAAGCATAGCTGTAAGCCCTGGGGCAAGCCCGCTTGAAAATAGATGAATAGAAGGAAGGCCTGCATGTTGTTGGGTTAGCAAATTCCCCACTGCAGCAATATTGGTCAAGCCCAAATGCTTCGCATGCGCTTTTGCATGCAACTACTTGCCCTCCCCCCTCTCCGTCTCCTCCCACCACTTGAAGTTCTTTAGGGCAACCTGTTTTCAAATATACCAAATTAAAAGGTATAGTAATCTATGTTACTCGAAGTTGGAATAATTATCGGATATGAATATGTGTCTGATGCAGGTGTTCAAAATTTTTAAGTTTTTCATATAGTTTAAGAATATAAATTTTGTATTTACGGAATAAATGATAAACATGAATATTTGAAGGAAATGAAGAATCGAAACTAATATAAGATATAATAATCAAATTGTAATTATTTTATTGATTCTTGGTTTTTTTTTTTAATATATACTATCAATGTAACCTGAGATTTGAACTTTAATTATTCTCAAAATCTTAGCATGGCGGGTCAGTAGATCAAAATTTTATTTTGCTTGTTTTATTTTTAGCATTTGAAAATAATTGAGTCTTATAGTTCTTACCCATATTGATATCTGAAGCGCAGCCGGTGGCATTACATGAACCATAAACTCCACGAGGTGCAGCAACAAGAGGCAAATTGTAGCCATCTACAATGCTAACATCATAGAAATCTTGGTCGTTTCCAGCACCAAGAGTTATTTCAAAAAGAGATGCAGGTGGAGCAGCACCATTGCCATCACATTCTAGCCTTCCCCCACAATCACCAGTCTGACAAGACCCAACTCCTAACGCATCAAACGAGCAACCTGTCCTGCCCCAAATCCGACCTGACCACCCCGGAACCGTTGGGATTCTAACACTTTGGCCTGAATCCAACTGGAACCCTGTTGTTGGAAGCTGTGGAGTCCCTGAACCAGCAAGTGTTCCAGGCCATATTGTGTAAGGGCAGTTGTTTGATATTGTGAAAGTGCAAGAATGAGAGCTGCCAAAGAGCAATGCAAGGAAAATAAGGATCAAGACACTAGGAAACATGGGTCAATGACTCTGACAAATAAACTTAGGGTTTCTGTATTCAAGAGAAATGAAGGGATTGTTGGCATCATTAAATATATGTTTTTGCTGTGGGGGTTGGAGATTCGGAAAGGGGGGGGGGGGGGGGGGTAATAGGGGGGATATACAAGAAAGACTAAAGCCTAAAGGGCTACGACAACGTTGCTTTGCTGATCAGGTTGTAATTGGCCGCAAGATTGCCTTTTTGGGTTTAGGATTTCCTTTTGAAAAGGGGTGTCCTGGCCTCTTTATGAAGCAATGCCTTGCTTTATTGCTGGTGCAGGACATTAGTACTTAATGGCCACAGATCCTCCTCAACGTGAATAAGATCTTAGGTTGTAACCAATATATATATATATTAGAAAAATTTGTCACGGCTAAACTTGAAAATTTGAAACACGACATAAATACGATACGAAAATAAGACATAAAAATAACATATTTTAAAATTTTAATAATAATTATATATAAATTTAATAAAATAAAAAATATATATTATATTTTTATGTTGATATAAATTATAATACGTAATTTATATATAACATAATACGAATATATGAATTTTAATATTTTACATGACATAAAATACATGAATCATTAAATTTAATCATGACTTCACGATGTTGTATTAGATTTTTTTTCAATGTAATATATGTACTTCTAAAAAGTGTAATATGATATTTGTTCTTAGACCAACCCGTAAGATTTTTGAAAATTTTTTCGTTTACATGTATGTTTAATTTATAAATGGCCTCTTCAAAAAATAAAAATGGCACCCCTAGAAAATAAAAAGTGTTCGTTGTGATTATAAAAATTAAAATTCTTTTTTAAAAATTCCATTCTCAAATCTCAATCAATTTATTTACAACAAGTATTAATATTTATTAGTTGAATTATCATTAAAAGAAACATATACAAATTTCGATGTATAAATATAACTAGGGTGCGAAAATTACTTAATTTTTTTGGCATAGTAGGTAAAAAATAAAAATGCATATTATTTTATGTAATGGAATAAATTATTTGATTTTTAGTTTTTTATTAAATTATTTAATATCTGTTATTGATTTAACTTTGTGCATTTAGATAATGTTAAAGGTGTATTTCCTTATTAATAAATTGACTGATCTTTTTATTGCACCACTTAAAAATATTTTTCAACAATAAAAATTGTTAAAACAAAGTTTTACAACAAAATGTAAGAAGAGTTAATCTTGTTTTTTACATTGAGAGAAAATTTGTTGAAATTTTCGACTAACTTGATTTTTGTTAATGAAAAATCGTTGTGCACAAGTAATATTAAGGCTTAAATATTTATTTTTCTCTTGTATTATATATTTTTTGTCAATTTGATATTTTAAAAAATAAAATTATTAATTTGGTATTTTAATTTTTATTTCGTTATTACTTTTGATAACTCAGACTAACGCTGCTAATTAACTTGTTGATGTAGCATAAATATCCAATAAAATGTCGACAAGTGTATAAAAAAATTAATGCTATATTATCAATTGCCATGTTAGTGTTAAAAAGAAAAATTACAAAATTTCTAAATTTTTAAGAAAATTTTTTATTTTGTTTTTTTGAAAAATCATTTGAAACTTTTGTCATACCTTCGGAGCTTTGGAATAAGGATGATAAAATAATTTATATCTAGTGAGATTGACCCATTTTAATTTGATAAAGTAGATTATTTTTTTAAATCAGATATTGGATTAGATTTTTTTTAAAAAAAATGGGGATGGAGTTGAAGTTGGATTTTAGATTACACCACCTTGAATATATATAAAAAATATTTTTTATTATTTATTTAATTTTATATTTATATTAGTATTATATTAATAGAATTATTATTCAATAATTTATCTTAAATATTAACTTAATAAATATACTATATTTATATATAATTAAGATGTAATTTATATTAAAAAATAATATTTTAATGAATATAATATTAAATTAAAATTATTAAATTAATTTTTGATCAATTATGATTTATAAATATAAAAATTAAGTAAAAAAAATATTTTAATATCAAATTAAATCAAAATCAAATATAAATATTAAAAGATCGGGTCGAGCAAAAACTTGCCTCAACTAGTGGCCATCACTGCTCGGAGAAAATGTTATATTTCGTTTTTGTATTATAAAATTTTTTAATGTGATATATGTATTTCTAAAACGTGTAATATGGCATTTGTCTATGGCGAAGCCATGTTCAAGCCCAAACCCTAAGATTTTGAAAATTTTCATTTATATATATTTAATTTATAAGTGGTCTCTTCCCAAAAAAAAAAAAAATTTCCCAAAAAGTGTCCTTTGTGATTATAAAAATTTAAATTTTAAGATAAAAAATTTAATTTTCAAATATCAATAAATTTGCAAAAATATTAATATTTAATAGTTTGGTTTTCATTAAAAGAAACAAAAAAAAAATGCTTTGTTAAACATTACTCAGTTAAAAAGTCAAATTTTCTCAAAATATAAGAAAAATTGAAAAAAAAATTATTAAATAGAAAGGGACACAAGTCTTATTCTTCGAAACACAACGCCAAGACACTATATAGATTCTTATTTCTTTTAGAAAGTCTTATCATAGTAACAATGTAAAATATAAAATATAAAATATAAAATATAAAATATATATTTTTTAATTTGTTAAACTCATAATAATTTTAATTAAAATTTTAAATTGTACTTGTTGTTTTTTTATATAATTTTTTATATGATATTATCATATTATGTTTTAAATTATCGTATCTAAACCTAGTCGCAAAAAAGCCTTTAGAAGGCATGAAGGAGGCCAAGCCAATCCCACTGTCTTCTTCCAAATCCTTTAGACAAATAAAAAAAATAGTTACATTTTTTTTTATTTCAATAGTTGAATATTTTATGTATGGTGTTTATGGTTATATATATGGAATGTTATAATTTACATTTTTTTTATAATTTTTGATAAATAATAGCATATTATATCCTAAATAAAAATTTTCAAATTACAAATTTTATTTTAATTTGCCCCATAACTTGAAATTCCGGCCCCGTACTGAAATTTGTGTATAATGTAATCCAATGGTTGATACCATTAGTTGAAGATGATGACATAATTAATGATAAATCAAATGATGCTATGTATTATAATAATTGTCATAATTTTTAAAAATATGATAAAATTTTAAAATATTTTTTATTTTTAAAAATTAAAAAATAGAAGGAAAAGAATTTTAAAAATAAATATGATATTTTTAAAAAATAAGTATAAATTTTATAAAATAATTTTATCTTTTAAAAATAATAATTTTTTAAAATAAAATTTTATTTTGAAAACTATTAAAATTTTAAGAACTTTTAAAATGCAAAACAGAGGCTTTTAACCATCACGGCAGAATCCTCCGTCTGCGGCGTGGTGTCTCTCTTCTTACATACATTTTCTCCATTTCATTCAGTAGTCGACTTGATCCATCAGGTAAACTTACAAACTTCCACCCGCCACCACCTCTACGCTTTCCTTTTGGTCCCAGTTTCTCTACTGTGAAGTTCCAACCATCAGAGGGCCGCCTCCTGCTATACTTGTGGTGCTTTACCTCGCCAGCTATCTGTATATATACAAGCAAGATTACAATGGCATTCATGAAAAATATAAAACAGAATTAATTGTAAACTAGACAGTTGAATTTTAGCATGATGAGTTAAAGTAAATATAGATAGAAGAGAAAAGGCAAAAAAATGGGATGATTTTTTTTTTTTGCCGGTACTTTGAGAAATGCTCATAACTAAAGAAGTAAATGATATATTTACACTTGAGCATAGGTGTATTAAGCAAATCGAATTTGAATGTCTTAATATTTGATTTGATTAGTTCGAAACTAATCGAATTTTTATATTTTAATATTTTTTATTTTTAATTAAAAATTATTATTTTAACCATATATATATATTATCAATTCGAGTTTTAACTTAAGTTCAAACATAATAATCCGAGCTTGAAGTCAAATATGATAATTGAATTTATTTTTTATTTTGTAAACGAGTTTAATTGAGTGAGTTCGAATAACTTAATTTTTATCTTGAATCGAATTCAAATTAAAAATTTAAAACTTAATCAATCGCAAATCAAATTTTAACTCAAATTTAAATCTGAATTTTTCATTATATCGACTCAACTTAGTTACTTCCCTTACCCATAACCACAACAAGAATTTTAGTTCCATTGATTAGTGATTTTAGAGTTGATAAAAAAAAAAAAAGAAGGCCAACTTCTGAAATGAATTATAAGCAAACTTTGCTCCCAAGAAATCAGAAACTTCAGTTTCTTACTTGACAGAAAAATCATCAACCTTTATCCCTCGTAATGGCAAGCAACACTACACTTTAATCTATTAATTTGTCAACATCTGATCACTATACATCTTCCTCTCTCCAGATTCCAATGTTGACCCGTTTCCCATATAAGCTCATTACTTTGCCTGTAAATCAAGCCAAACTATAGCAGTCTGTGCAGAAACACCAGGACGAGAGAGAGAGAGAGGAAGAAAGAATGTCACAATAACACAAGCTGCAAAAGCAAAAGTTGTTTATTCTGGACATGAATTTCTGACACGACAGAGTAATACCATATAAAAATAATACAAAAAAATTATATATAAATAATACAAAAAAAATTATATATGTGTTTCAAAAGAAATGTATTTCATGTTTATTCGTATTGATACGAATTTTGACATGATATAATTTGTGTTACGTATATATTAATTATTTAAATACATGACATAATATGATTAACAAATTTAATTTAATATTGTCGTATGAGTATATATTTAACACATTTTTATATTTATTTTAATTTAATATAAACATATAAAAATTATTATAATTTTTAAATTTTTAATTATGATACTTAATTAGTTATTTAATATTATATAAAAATTATTTTAAATATTAATAATTAGTATAAATTTATTTTTTATATTAATAATATAAATACAATATAAATATTAATATTAATCTCATACATTATTATTTTATTCTTTAATTATTAATAATTTATTATTTGAATTTGATATTAAAAATTAATATAGTTATAATATAAATTAAAATTTATATATATATATATTAAATACATATTAAATGAGTATTAAATTTATTTAATATATAAGTACTTTTATATATTATTAATATATCAAATTTATTAAATTGTAAACGATGGATAATTTATAATTATTTATTATTTTAGTCTTATTTTTGTATATATTTGTGTTAACCATGTTTATTCATTTATATTTGTATTAATCATGTTTATTCGTATATATTCGTGTTATTTATGTTATTAGTATCACGTTTAAATGAATTTATTTTTCGTATTAATCATATAATGTTACGTGTAATGCGTATATTAAACGTATTATGATTATGTTTAAGATATAAATACATTTTATAATTCGTATCGTATTTGTGTTTTAATAATTTGTATAATTACATGTGTTAAATATGATATAAAATATAATACGAAAATATAAATTATTAGATCTAATTACATGTGTATAAGACAGCTTCGTTTCCTTCATTCACTGTTCAAGATAAAAGTAGAGAATAACGCTTGTATTTTATGAATTCTAACATTTTGTGTTTTTTTTTTTTTAATATTTGGACCCAAAGTTTTTAATTCTAACAGTTGAAATATCTCATTAAAATATAAATTTTTATTTAAATGTTTAATCTCTTTAATATTTTTGGCAACAAGTAGAAAATATGAATTTTTTTTAGCTTTTTAATGAATAGCTATAAAATATGGACACATAATACGTATGAGATAACACAATAATACGATAATTTAAAAAATAATTTTGTATATAGCTAGATATGACAATAAAAAACTATTTTTACATACTATAAGTATCATTTAAGAATGTATAATAAACATTGGATTAATTTTTAAAAACAATTACTTTTTGAAGAAAAATTAATAATAAACACGAACATAAAAGGGTATAGAGTGCCATCACCAAAACAATAATTGTTTTTTTCTTTTGTCGTACCTGGTCAAGTTCTATACATATTCTGACATGCTATAAGCGGCAAAGTATGGGATATGATACGATATAGATTGGAAATGATAATTGGATCGAAATAAATTTTTGTTCATTTTTTAATTTTATAATCAAAAAATTAAAATTCAAAATTGATTTAAAATTTTTTTATTTTTTTATATTCGATCTTATCTGATATTATATAAATCGTATCAAATTCGATCCGATTCGAAATTAATAAAATATTATTTTTTAAAATATAAAATATTATTTTTTTAATTATATAATTATATAAATAAAAAAATTAAAAATAATTTTAAAAAATAATTTTTAATATAATATCAGATTGAATTGAATTTACTTAAAATCCGAACCCAATTTTTCCTTAATAATATCCGATCCAATACTTAAATTTTAAAAAAAAAAAATCAATCTTCTGTGATCAGGTCGGGTCATTGGGCTCAAATTGAGCTGCCAACCCTAATACAGATACACGAAGAGTTCATTTTTGTCCATGCTAGACAAACATGTTGTGTTTTTCAACTTTCTGAATTTAAAACAAGGATCATATCATGTTTTCAATTCAAAACTTAAAAAAAGTTCCAGTCAGCTGCTTTTGTGCTTCAAAAAATTATAACGATGTTATGCTCCTGGTTCATTAACAGAGTACACATATATGAACATAGAAGTGCATAAACATAAACAGTGAAGAGATTTCTCTTGTTTGATCAATATAATTGACAATGACGACGGATCTGTGAAGGATCACAATCTTGGCTAGACATCCGAACACGGCTCATGGCCAAATCATGGACATATGCATCTACGTGTTCTAACAAATTTGCCGGAGCCAAATTCATTCAGATATCATCATCTTCATGATGTTAGATAAACTGCTTCAAAAACTCCGTCGCCACCAGCCTCCCTCGTGTATTCACAGACATTTTCAATTCACTTATCTCTTTATCAATGTCCTGAGATTTTGAGAAGAAATTGTTTCAAAACATGCTAGATGGAAGAACAAGGATGTGTCACAGACAAAGGATAGTAGTTAGAAATTATTGAGTTGAATTTTAAGGGAAACGCTGGGACTGTAGATGCCATAAGAGAAAGATTGAAGACATTGACTGTGAATAGTGATAGGCCAAGAATCAATTTATTTAAAACCAATCCAGCAAAATCCAGCAAAATCCGGCCCTGCACAGAGCTGAATGGCAATAGAAGATTCATGAATGATGAAACCATTGACAAGCATTCGGTTCTAAGGTAGGTTCTAACAAGAGGAAAGCCGGTAATTATGGTTAAATTCAGTTTTGGATGGCAAAATAGTTTGCATAAATCAGAAGATAAGTCACACGAGTTTGTTTTTTAAGAGAAGATGTAAGGGGGGTGGTTATAGAGGGTTTAGTATGAATACAGTTTCGCCGAAAGTGAGTTTTAGAATAAGGGATGGGAAATCGGATCTAATTATCATATCTTTAGAAACAGCGGTAACACAGAGGAAGGAAGAAAACATTGATAAATTTGTAAGGAACATACAAAGAAATATTCAGCTACAATTTTAGGAACACTAAATATGTAAATTCCAGAATCAAAATGAGTGGAGGAAGTAGAATGCATGGTAGATGGCAGATGCGAACATACTCAAATCTAAGGCATTGGAATAATTTCACATATCCCTTGAATCTATTGCTCTTAAATCTTTTTCATTTTTCATGCTACCAAATTTTCATAGAATGCATATATACATGCACAACTGATACTGTAGTTGCACACTCTGGAATATAAACCTTAATCGGTAAAACTATTTGAAAATTCATGAGTTTATCAATAATTTTATGTTTGATTATGTAAGATGAGATCCACAATCTATAATTTGAAGACAAATATAATTGATAGGGTTAAGACAATTCTTGCCTCCATGAATTGCACAATAAAATCAATGAGCTTCTGTTTCTGCATCTCTTCACAGTGGTAGTTTGTGATAAGAAAACTGATGTCATAACCCTGCTTAAAGACGCAGCAATTGGAAATAAAAACCATAGTCTAGGATAATCTAGAAAATTCACTAGCATAATGAAGAAACAAAAGTAATTTCTGGATTACAGTTACAATAATCTATATCATAATCCAAAAACATACTTTATCAACCTAATATTTAATGACTTGAACAAAGGGGAAAGAATGAAGTAGATAATGACAGACAAAACCAATGTCATCAAGATAATGCTTTCTATGCTAGCTACTCAGTCAATTAGTAAAAGCTAAATATAATCAAATATAGAACTTGTTTCCAGAATAAGTATCAAAATAAAAAAATGGCGAAATCAACTAATACATAAAGGTAGCCTCAATTCATGAACGATTTCAAAATTTAAGAGCCGTGTGTAATCTATTTCATTACTGAGACAGATAATACAGTAAAATAATCAGGTAAACTTATAGGAAAAAGAAAGAGGCAAATATGCTAATCAGATTTAAAAGGTTATAGTGCATAGAAAAAGGAAAAATTTAAAAGTTTTTACCTACAATTGGCAAAAATATAGTGGTTGTTATGACCACTTTTGCAAAATGTTGTACAAATAATCATTCCTCAAGGCAAGTTGATTGGTAATCACGTGAGTTTGTCAAGCACCCATGAATTTAGAAGGTAAATCAAGTGTCAACTATGAGATTAAAATGTATATACCTGTACTGGTTTTCTTCTCAAAACTTGAAATGCTTCTGCCCTCATTGACAAAAATCTAAGGAACTTTTTAGTTAGTATGTTTTCAAGTTCATCTGCCTGTTTTACCTATACAAGAAGAAAAGAGTATACATATAAGGACAAAATGGGAGAAAGATTGCAAAATTTATCCTCATCTAAGTTAAGAACAAACTTCTGTCAAAAAGATAGGTTAAATGTAAGCTTTAAAAGAAATAAAATCAAGTGAAAATGCCTGACCAAAAAAATGAAGTGAAAATGATATAAAATGCTACACAATTCCAGAGCAATTAGTGCTGTTGCCTATAAGCTGAGATTGATATCAGTAACGAAACACTAAAACCAAATTTGGCACTATTAAAACACACATTCTTTCATTAACTCAGGCAAGCACCCATGAAAAGACGATATAAAAATTCTCTACCATCAGTTTAAATAGAAAACAGCCATCAGCACCATGCATGTGATGCTGTTTATTTAATCTAAAAGAAAGGAAAAAAATTCAAACTAAAGAGATCCTCTTTGCAGCAATTATGTCTGCCAGACAAAAGAAACACCCAGTGAAAGATTATTTAAAATCACCTTGAGGCTTATCCGTAGTGAATTGATAGATGTTTCTATTAAGCATTTTTCAGCCTCATTTCGACATATCAAAACCTGCAATGGCAAATGGTCATATTAAGAAGATCCATAACCAGCAACATAAAAATGTTTTAACACGGTAGAACTGAATAACTAACTAGCCATTTTCTAATTATACAAATTAAATCACATAAAATCATTTATGTCGGAAACCATCAAATGACATGTTTGCTGGCACATATGCATGTATCTTGATGATATATCCCATCGTTGGATTGCATGATGAAAGGTGTATGACATGGATGGTTGAGAGGTGGCAAATGTCAAGTGTGGAGGATGACTTGCGCATACCCTTTGATTTAGTAATGTAAAACTCCTATGGCTTCATTATTTCAAAAAAACGAAAAAGTAAAATCCAGGCTTAGTTTGTTCATGTTACATTTTTCAATCCTCCAAACTCAAAAACAATTTGTTAAAGTACCTAAATAAATTAAGTGATTGATAGAAAAAAAAACACAAATTTCATACTAGGTGGATTCATCTATCACAGCTTCTGCATGCAAAGTAGCATAAAAAATTAAAAGCAAAAAAATGCAGAAAACACAAAATAAGGCTCCACTTCATCGTTGCTTTTGCTGCTTGCTTTATATTATTTGTTTTTGCTTCCTGACTGACACTGTTTCCTTTAGCTTCCTTAAAATTGTTAATTTGCTACAAAGCCAAAGCAAATGGTAAAAAAGAGGATAATCTTGGACTAAAGATAAGCAACGAATTAAAATGAAACACCAAATAAGATGTAGTTATTATTTCAGATAAAAGTAAAAGCATATGTTTTGTTGTCAGATTAATTTTTTGAATTTTGTAATTCTTCAAAAATATATATATATTTAAAAAATGAAACAAGGAATAATGTGATTATGTCTCTTGAGTCAATAAGATAGTTCTTACGGGATTTAGCAGAAGTTCTGGGCTTGTCCTGCAACATATGAAAAAGAAAAATATTAAAAAGTTTGTCCAGAAGCGTAGAATGCAGTGCTGCAGGACAAGAAAGTTTTCACAGGTAGATAACCGAATTAATTTTTCCACTTTGATTGTTGCTATAAGTATAAACCTACTTGAGTTTAAAATATTTCAATCAACTGATAAAGTTCTTCACTAAATTTCTTTTGGCAGGTATCATTCATTATACTTGAGAATTGATCATCAAAATGGAGATAGTATCATATGAGTTACTACCAAACATGCATAAATTAGCAGAACAAGAGCTTCAAATGGTTAAAATATCTTGTAAAATAAATAAAGAAACAAAGATGAGGTGTGGAAACTATTAAAATGCTGGATAAAAGTCTATGTAGCCCCCTTGCTGAAAATCTTGTTGCAGCTAAGAAGAAACTAGAATTCCCAGAATAGGCCAGTTTCTTAGGTAGGGGAGGGAAGAATGCAATCTAAAGAAAAATATGAGATAGGAGAGTTGCAAGAACAAAACAACATGATAAAACACTTTTCTACATGAATGGCCTCAAAGATTTAAGGCAATGCCGGCATCTCAGAATCTGAAAATCATTTTGAAAGCACCAAAGAGCTTATATAGCTTGTATGAATAAAAAATTAACTGGAGATCCTACACCATGACATTAGTACTTTTTTTTTTTTTAAAAGAATTTATGCATAGAAAATTTAAACGATACCTTTTGAATTCAAGGAATAACTTGCAATCTAAGTGCATAACTAAAAATCCAAATCAGTTAAGGCTGGTCTACGATCAGCATAAGTTTTTCTTTTTGGCCAATAATCAGCATAAGATAAGTAGCATGCTAATTATAGAATAATAATTTAATTCCATACCAACAAGGCAATGCAGGAAGCAATGTTTATTTATGTTTCTTATTAATTTTTCCACAACTTGTTAGCACTTGGATCATTTTCTTTTCATATAGCTTATCCAGTCAGAATATGTCAAATTCTTAAATAAGAAATTAAAGATGAAACTGAAATGGATATACATACTTTAGTTCAACTTCTGGCTTATTATGCCTCTCAACTTCTTGACAAGGAAAATTCTGCCAAAAACATGTTAATAAGAGAGTAAGATTTTTATGGGCACATAATAAATATATCACGTAAAAAAATTGACAACAAAGGTCTTTCCCAGGCCAACACATATGATAGAAATACATCTTTCATGGTAAATATAGTTGTTCAAAGGAACACCAAAGTTTGTAAAATAATAATGCCAAGCAACTAAAGTCAAGACAAATTATCAGCATAGACATGAACAACATATCCAAAAGCATCTTAACAACTAGAAGATCTTCAAATTTTTAAACAAAAATAATCTAGAAAACACAAAGTTGGCATAGCTTTAAATTTTGTGAAGATGTAGAAACTGCACAGATGCACTGAAAATCATAGGACAAACCTCCTCTATCCGTTATCCACCCTCAGAAGGACTTCAAAGATCCTATAGTTGTGAACAAATAGTGCTCCAAATAAACCATATTAGTCATTGGCAGCAACCAATTTATCCATCATTTTCTAAACTAAGACTCTGAAACATGGCAAACATCGAATACATTTTTAACCATTTCCAAATCTAATTACATTAATCCTAAGCTCTTAATCACAAAGCATTATGTCAAACAAAAAGCCGATGATTGCATCTCCTCTTCCAAGCCATTCTGACCACCACAAATACAAAATCTAACACGAAAATCAAGTGACTCTTCAAATTCAATCAGATAACAGTCACAAAATCTATTCATACACATTCAGAACATAAATTTCAGCCATTATTATATCTCTATCGGTACTCAGTAGCAATCACTTCACAGTAAACTTATAAATTTGATGTACATACCTGGAGACACATGGCAGCCTCGAGAGTGTTCCTTATGCAAGTCAAATAAAGCCTCAATGTGTTTGCCTAAATGTTGTTTACAATCAACGAGAAGAATTACTAAAAGGATGCATTAAACTTATGAAATAAAATAAATAATCTATTCAAATAATCAGTTAATTATATTAAACAAGATAAAAACAAGCTAGAAATCAAGCACTAGATCCCAAAAAAAAAAAAAAAGATGAAATTGAAGGAAAACAGAGGGGAAAAAAGACAGAGAAGCTGATTTCGTTTTCTTTTATAAGAAAAGAAAAACGTAATGCAATTGAGCTACTAGTTACTGAGATCCGTAACTTAGATATTGATTTTTGTTTACTTTCTAGGCAACCAAACAGAGTGAAGCAGAGAAAGGTAAAATTCGGTGTCCTTACCATTTTTTCTTCGTGGATTTAAGCAACTGATGGTAAAACGAAACGATTTTTTTAACTACTTGTGTTGAATTTGGATTTGGCGTTGTTTCTTTGCCTGAATACTTGCTTTACTGCTTTAATGAAAATGAAAAAATTAATGAATTCCCGTTTTCTTTTCAGAAAACAATAAAACCAAAAAGGAAAAAGACAAAAAAAAAATGAAAGAAAAAAATCCGACCTGCCGGATTCGAACCAGCGACCTAAGGATAAGCTGTGGGTTTTGACCAACTACAGTCCTCCGCTCTACCAACTGAGCTAAGGTCGGTGCGGTTGTTTCGAAATGTCGATGAGATATTTTTTATTCTTATTAAAATTATGTTAAAAAAAGAACATATACAGGTTAATGAAGCATAAATTTGAAATTTGAACATTATCTATTTTAAATTATTTATCTAAAAAATATCTTCTCAATAATTTGTTCTTCCTCTTTTCTTATGCAATTAATCTAGATCCCGTTGCAATTGTTGTCTTGGGTGTTTCAATTCAAATCATAATATAATATTATTAGATTATTAGGATTTCACATTATTATTTACTAATTTTCTTTTTTTATGTATGACTAGTACAACTTTTTCCTCAAAAAAATTGCACAGAGAAATTTAATAAAAAATAAAATTATTTTATTTTTTATTGAAAGAAGGAGATTATAATTTAACTTAATTTTTTAACATATATGCATTTATTATTGAGTTAAATGCTAATGTGTAAGATTATTCATATTAAAATTTTAAAATAAAATGAGTTTTCATTTCATAGATCAGAGCATAACATTTTTTTTCTTTATGAAAATTTAATGATTCAATATTTTCAAGAAAGGCCAATGTGATGAAGCTATAAGCACATAATTATCAAAATTGAGGCTTAGATTATTGGTTTTGGGGGAGGGGGGTTGGTCTCATTCGAAGAATCACACAAAATTTCATCAGCCAATTCTTTGGCTAACTTGTCAGCACGATCATCGTTTCCACCAGCAAAAGAATATACCCTGAATGCCAATTGAAAAGCTTTCCAAAGCAATTTAATACCATTTCCTTTTGTTTGTACATCAATCTTGAATCCATTGTTTTTATCCGCCGCGGCACCCTTTGTTTCCCTCCATTCCTAAAAGCATAAAAAACCAGAACCAGGATAAAATAATGAAACCCAACAGACAATTGTTTGGACTTTGGATAATTGTTCTTATCAGGTTTAATGTCTGATTTAACCCCTAAATCATATCACTTCCACGATTTAATATTCACAATTAAATTCCGTTAATAGTAAGTTGATGCGATAAAAAAATCAATAATATCATGACATGTGATATATTTTATTGATTAATATTTGTTAAATTAGTATCTTAATTAATGGTGTAAAATGCTTGATGAAAATAAATTTCGGATATCGAATTTTGAATTTTTTTTTTGTAGGTATTAAATCGTTAAAAGCAGTATATTTCAATGAACCGAATTATATATTAATGCTTCTGATTAAGCTTTTTGGTTAAGAAAATAAATTACTGCTCAAGAATACCTTAAGTGCAAGCTCCATGCAACTGGAGGAAACATCCACCATCAGTTCTTTGATCATTGTAAAGATATTGAAGTCGAAATCAATACCATGGCTCTTGAATTTCCTGGATTCCTCATCCTTGATCCTGTCAAATGCATCTAATTCTTCTTTAACCTTCACCAGCCAGAAAAAAAAAATGGTAAAAATGGATAACCAAAATGGAAAAAAAAAATTCTGTAATGAATTCAAAAGTTGTTAAACTCTGTATATTTGAGCTTGAATGTCACCTTGGTGAAATAGCAATCGAATTTGTGCAACAGTTGTCCTGCAGGTGGTGTTAGATCCCATTTCTTCAAGTTTGAAACTATCAGGTTTGATTTTGAGTATAATGCTGCAGCTGTCCTTATTGTTTCCAATTTCTTTGTAGGGAAATCTTCAAACTTTGCTAGAACCTACACCTTAAAGCATCAAGAATCATGATGATTAAGGAAGTTAAGCCAATAGAGGATACAATAACAATTAAATGCACGGGTGTGATCGAATCAAACATGAATGAATTTTATTATATTTATGATGATTTGTTAAGTTTAATAAATAAACAGAAATTCAGTTTGATCATCAGTATAAACAAATCAATTATGAATGATTTTTACTATGATCATGATCATTTGTTTAATTTAATAAATGAACAACAATAATAATCGAATCTGTTCATGAATTATTATGTCAAACATTATGTTTGTTTACAGCCCAGATTAAATAGTGAGTTATGAATATTGAATTAATGTTAGGATTTTGCCATATAAACTGACCTGACTTTCATCAGTTAGGACTTCAAGAAAGGCTTCTGCATCTTGTCGGAACTTAATCAGCTTAAACATGTCCTTTGTTTGCAAAGAATTGATGGCTACTTTCAGTTCCAGGATGGTTTTCTCATGCTTTTGAGCATCTTGTTCAATTTGTTGAAAGTATGGTGATCTAAGACAAAACAAATGATCATCAAAGTGCTTGAATTTTACCATACATGGAAAATTGAACAATTGAAGATCAGGTCATGGAAAGCAGGAAACCAAACCTTTTTGTCAACTCAGCTAAAGAAGCAGCCAATCCTTCTTTCCACCAGCAGAACCCCCCAACTGCTTCTTGGTTCGACTAGATGGCTTAACTTGTAGACTAGACCCTTCCATCTTTGTTTTCAGATCTCTGAACAGATTGCTCATCTGGCTAGACCTCTTCAATTTACTGGTGGCTTGCTTTCGATTCAACAATTTTCCAGCACCAAGTGAAGGTGGCGGTGGTGGGGGTGCACCACCCTTTTTAACTGCCATAGGTGGCGGAACTGATCCTTTTAAAGGCAAAGCAGGTGGTGGCAGAGGCGGCGGTGCCGGTGTGTCTGGGATGCCAATTCCACTAGTTTTTTCCGACTTGGTTTCTGCTCCATTCATCACAATATAGAACGTTTCTTTCATCCTATCATGAGCAAAAACCTGTATGAATTGCTCGATTCCTTTGACAAGTTCTGAGTTTCCCCTCACTGAACATTGATTGATTAATGAAACAGAGATATTTGGTGGTTAACTGCGGCATCGACTTTTTCATGCTTTTTAAATTTCTCTTTCATTGATAGGAGAAAGCGTGTTAACTAAGGAAAAAAGTAACACGGCTTCTATTGTTGACATTGATATATTATTATTATTATTATTGTTTTATTTTATAATAATTAAAATAAAAGTTTTTGCTCAAATAATTATTTTTCTTGAATGCATTAAGAAAATTAGCATATTTTTTTATTTAAAATTATTAAATTTTAATTACTGAAATTAAAATTTTAACATTTTAAAGACTAACATAATTTTCATGTATTAATTATTAATATTACAGCAAGTATGAAAAAATATATATATATCACAAATTTTTGTACTAATTTTCTAAAAATTTGACAAAACCTATTAATTGGATATAATTTTTTTACACATATTCTTTAAAAAATATTTATTAATTCGATTTCTTATTCTTATATTACACTTACAGGTTAATAATTTTAAAAGTTTAAACACTTTATTCTTTTCTATTATCCAAGGGTGAGTATTAATTGGTTTTAACCAAGTAGATTGATAAAAAAATTAAAATTTAATTAAATTAGGATTTTTTTTTTTTGAGTTTAACAATTTTTTCAATTGAGTAATTGACTTGGACGGTGTAATCAGTTAATTTGTAATTTTGAAAATCATGAATGAGTTAATTAAAAAAATTGAAAATTAGATATTTTTTAAAATAAATTGATTTTTTTTTTAAATCAACCGATCTATTTTGTAAATAGATCAATTTTTTTTAAAAATGAATTAATCTATTTTGTAAATTACCTCTATGCTTATTTAAATAAAAAAATTCAAAAATTCAAAAAAATTGACTGATTTATTTTGATTTGGCTATTTTAATTTTCACTCTTTTAATTGATTTATTCAATTTTTCTTTAAATTAACTTGCAAACAAATTAATCGATCAATTAAAATTAAATTAATCAAAACCAATATATTACTATATTATCTCATAAATCACATTATATATTTATGTAATTTTTTAATAAATTGAAATAATTAAAAAACTTGGATAAATACCAGTTCAATGTTTAAAAATAATTATATGATCATTAATAAAATATTAAAATTTTAATTTCATTCGTAAAAATAAATAATTGACATTATAATTATAAAAAGAATAACACCCAGCCCAAAAAAGCCAGGCCCAACCCAAGTAACAATCGCTATTACCAACAAACAACCGCCAAATCCAATCGTTACGTCTGAAACTGAAAGTCGGTAGCGCCACCGTTCCCATCTCATCCTTTCTCCAAATCTACGTTCCAGCTTACAATCTTATTATTATTTTTTATTTTTTAAATTTAAAAGTTTTCACCTTTTTTTTTTCCTAATTTCACACTCTCACATGCACTGCAACTCCAAACAGCAAAATCTCTAAAATCTTCAGATCTGGAAGCACGTTTTCCTTTCCTAACCATGCGGAGGTAAACGCACTAGTTGATTAATTTTCCTGGAAAGTTTTCGTTTTCTATTCAATCAAACAGGCATTTTGTTGAACTCTTTTTTTTTTTTGTAGGTCGGGGCCGCATAGGCAGCATGGGAGGCAAGGAGGAGGAGGAGGACTAAAGGGAATTTACGCCAAGCTAGCGATTGTTGTTGTGGTACTTTTGATCTGCACACTCTCGCTTTTGTTTTCGGCTACAATTGGTGGAAATCGCGGATCTCTCCAGCCTTCTGAGGTTAGGAATTATAGTTAGGATCTGATCTGCTTGATTTTTAGGTTATGGATTTTGGTGTTTGTTTGATTTATGAGAAAATGCTAGGAGAAAGATAAGAGAATTTGAACTATAATAATGACTGTGATTCATTAGTTTATTATTATTATTATTATTATTATTATTATTATTTAGAAATCTAATGAGTTAAATTGTCGTATTAAATTGGAAAAATTTTTTCTTTTGATTTGACCTGTGGCTCAGTGATTAAATTTGCGTGTGTTGAGATATTGTGTTTGTTATTGGGTTGGTAAAACTTAAAAGGTCGCAATCCTATTAAGGTGACTAGTTTGTTGTAATTGGTGGGTAGATGTACTGGATGAATTTTGTAATGCTAATGTCATATTGAAATGCCAAACAGATGGTAGAAAGCTTGGGATGTATGATGTTTGACTAGTATCCATGCTTTTAATTTTTAGATAATGTCTTAATTTCTTTTACCCCCACCCCTCAATTTCATCTTTTATATAGTTATTTTGTAAACAATAATTATTCCATCTCTTGTTATGGTCCCAGTCAAGATCATAGATTTATTAGAAAGTTGGGTCCTAATACAATCAGAGAATTTTTTTTATTATGTAACGCACTCAATAGATGCTATAGGAGAATCTCTTGGTTGATGCCCGTGAAAACCTTCATTTGGTTGTTAGTGGATGATCTCTTATTTGGTTTTTGTAATCTCCATTTGACTCATGCATTGACCTATTAATTACATGAAAATTCATCAAAGTAGAAATGTTTTATCTATTGCTTTAGTCAGGCATTATGCTAATTTGCTAGGATGAGAGGATCATGTGGCTCAACTCCAAGCAGATCATTTGTCAGTTTTCAAAGACTTAATGTGTTTTTATGCACGGTTCCTGTAACCAGATTTGTTGATAGGTTTTTATTACCTTTATAGGGAATGTTTTAAAACAAGCTTAATATAACAGGTGCTCTGTACTCAGATAATGGTCCATGAGACTGGTTGTTATATTAATTTGAACCCTATGCATGTGTGAATTGATTCAGTGATTAGGATTTATTCTCATCCTTTTCCACTTTTAGTGTTTGCTTATCATTATTGATCAATCCAGCCTTTGATCATTATTTCATCTCATATGTTTCTTCAGATCAATGCAGAAGAACTTTGGGAAAGTGCCAAGTCTGGTGGCTGGAGGCCATCATCTGCTCCACGATCTGATTGGCCTCGTAACTACTAATAACTTTCTCAGAGAGAAACAAATCTATTTGAATTAAATTTTGCTAAAGATGTATGTTTCTTGGAATTCTGATTGTTATAGTCTGGCAGCTCCTCCAAGGGAAACTAATGGCTATCTTCGAGTTCGTTGCAATGGCGGTCTGAATCAGCAACGCAGTGCGGTTTGTCTTAACTTTTTGCCAAAATCTCAAGTCTGACCTATTCTGTTAATTGGCTTCTTCAATGAAAATTAAATTTGGTGCAAGCCAGCTTGAGTTTTTATCTTAATGCTTTGTTTTAGATTCTTAGTTTACCTAAAAAGGCTTATGAATCATTACCTAAGTTTAAACTAGAGTTAGATTGTGGTGATACTGCTTCAATGATGTATTTGAAATAAAATAGTAAGTTGACCTCTTTTGGTGTTCTAGATCTGTAATGCAGTTCTTGCCGCACGAATTATGAATGCGACACTCGTATTGCCTGAGTTGGATGCAAACTCTTTTTGGCATGATGACAGGTAGTCTTGTCTTTTTTTTTTTTCCATTTATTTGATATTAGCTGGTTTCTACTTTTTAATGAGGGCAGAGTAATTTCATTATGATGAACACTAAGATTTTAGATGGAAATTTTCAGATACTAGCTTAAAACTTTTATAATAAACAGTACAAACACCTGCTTAATTGGGCTGGAAATTCTAGAGTAGAGTGCTAGCATATTAATTTGTCATAGGCATTTTCCTTCCATGGTTTGGAAGCCATATTTAGTGAGTGCAATTCTAATTTCTTGCATTTGGTAGCTCAGCAAGGCTAATAGAAGATTATTAAAATATTGTGAATGATTGTGATATTTTCTTCTGCATGGTTGTGAAGATTAATATATGTTTGGTTGCCCCATGGCTTTAGCTTTTGTAATCTGTTCTCTGGGGCATAGGTGACTTCCTCCCTTTGGTACTCTTCTAAATGAACTTACTATGTTTGCAGCAAGTTTGTGTTTATTTGCTTGGTCAACTTAAGTTGAGTCATTATCATTTAAATTTGTTATAGTTCAAGTTGGCTGTGGTTGAATGGAAGATACTCAGAATTTTTTGTATTTATCATCTCTTATTTTATTGGTGAAGTGGCACCTAGACTCATAATTTCAAGCATTAGGAATAGAACAACTAATAGTTTTGGAAGATCCAGCAAGAATATGTGCTTTCCCATGAAATTACTATTTTCTTAGATGACTTGAATCATTAACTTCTAAATTTATTTCCATATTTTCTGATCTAACCATCAGTTGGCAATGAGTCTTTACATTTTAGGAGCTTGCTCACTGCACTGTGATTGAATTCACTGTTCTATAGTAATGAATGATTTACTTAGGCCATCATTTTTTTTCTTTTGCATATCAGAAATTTTCACTGGCTAATGTTTTGAATTAGTTCTTTAATTAATTTCCTTTTTACTTATTGTAGGATGATTTTCACTATTGCTTCTCCTAAAACTTGAAACACCATAATTGCTAGCACCATAATTTTTGTACGAAGGATTGGTAATGAATGTGAGGACAGTTGGGGGCATGACAGATCTCAGGATTACATCAAGACTCAGCACTAAGTCCTTTCCTTTTTGCATGAGTTATGGACGAACTCACTAGATGTATCCAAGATAAGGTGCCATGGCGTATGTTATTTGCCGATGATATAGTCTTAGTTGCTGAAACTTGTGATGCCCTTAATACGAAATTAGAATTATGGAGTACATTGGAGTTTCAAGGTTTTAAACTGAGTAGATCTAAAACTGAATATATGGAATGCAAGTTTATAAGTCACAAGGAAGTGGGTACTAGTCTGATTAAGTTGGATGGTAAGGGAGTACCAAAGAGTAGCCAGTTTCGATATTTGGGATTAATTATTCAGAGTGATATTGAGATAGAAACAAATGTCAAACATAGGATTCAAGCAGGATGGGCGAGTTGGTAAAGTGCTTTGGGTGTTTTGTGTGATCGCAACATACCTTTAAAGTTAAAATTGAAGTTGTATAAAACAACTGTAAGGCCTGCATTACTATATGGAACTGAGTGATGGGCTGTTAAGAAACAACAAAAAAGAAAATGAACGTAGTGGAGATGAGGATGCTTAGATGGATGTGTAGTAAGACTAGAAGAGACAAAATCAGAAATGAACATGTGATGTTGAGAAAAATTAGGGGTAGTCCGAATTGAAGGGAAGATGAGAGAGAGCCGTTTGCGATGGTTTGGACATGTGAAACTTAGGCCTAGCTGTGCACCGGTTAGGAGAATAAAGTCTCTAGATCTAGGAGAGATCAAAACATCTAGAGGTAAACCACGAAAGATATGGATGCAAGTAATAAAAAATGATATGATGGTTAAAGAATTAGATGAAAAGGTGATTGTTGATAGAAATGAGTGGTGCAAGAAGATTCAAACTACAACCTAACTTTATTCTCTTATTTGGTTTTTCATACAGCCGACCCCAAAGTTTGGGACATAAGGCACAGTGTGTTGTTGTTGTTACTTTGGTCGTAGAGCATTAATTGTTTGCCTGCCTAACAAAGAATTAGAAAGATACGCATGTATATTACATGGAATGTGTTTCCCAGCTCTTTATTGAGGCCAGTTGTCTATGTTTCTTGCAGATCTTTTGCAGTTAAAAATACTGATACCATCTTTATTTCTTCAGTGGTTTCCAAGGTATCTATGATGTTGAGCATTTTATCCAGACACTGAAGTATGATGTACGAATTGTGGAAAGCATACCTGAAATTCAAAAGAATGGCAAAACCAAGAAGATAAAATCGTATCAGGTGAAATATTGGTGCCATTAATTATTAATTATGAAAATAATTTTTATCTTTAGAAGTTGTTGAAATTTTGTGTTTTTCTGTTCTTGCTTCTTTCTTTATTCATCTAGATTCGCCCCCCTAGGGATGCTTCTATCAGTTGGTATACAACTGTTGCTCTCAAGAAAATGCAGGAACATGGTGCTATTTATCTAACTCCCTTTTCTCATCGTCTGGCTGAAGAAATTGACAATCCTGAGTATCAACGTTTGAGGTGTAGAGTTAACTATCATGCTTTAAGGTTCAAGCCAAATATTATGAAGCTAAGTGAGTCAATAGTTGATAAACTCCGTGCACAAGGTCATTTCATGTCGATACATCTTCGTTTTGAGATGGATATGCTGGCTTTCGCTGGGTATGTTCTTTTCCTTCTTATTGTATCTATATCATTTCATACATAGCTGCCATAATTTGAGGTTATGCACATCATTTTTGCTTGGGCTTTGAGCCTGAATAGCATTAGCCATAAGATAGATGTAAGATAAGTTTTTTTAGTTTTTTTTTTTAGTACATGAGACCAAAAGGACAGTGCACACATACATATCATCTGTTTTTCAAACATAAGATACTGTAAATTGAAATGATTATTGTTGCTTTAAAGATAAACAAATTTGGGATCTTTGTTCTATAATAATGTACAATCTGTTAAGTTTGATGCTAAGGATGAAGAAATGTTGGTCAATGAATCTATAAAGTCATATTTTCTGTTGTGAATGCTGTCCATCCATTCCCTCTCGGTCCTTTCCAGGCTGATGCATTTTGCTAGAGGCAAGAAGAAATATCCAATATCTTGTTCAGTGCTTTTACTGACACTTGAGAGTAATACATATACATCCATTTTTTAGTATTTTTGGATCCTTTGTGGCATTTCTTATCTATTATATGAATCCATATTATATTGACTAAAAACACATAGGTTGACATAATAAGTGTCATGATATGCATGAAGACCTTGATTGGCTGATGGGCTTGAATGTTTTACAGGTGCTTTGATATATTTAACCCAGAAGAGCAAAGTATATTGAAGAAGTATAGAAAGGAAAATTTTGCCGAGAAAAGACTTGTTTATAAAGAAAGAAGGGCCATTGGGAAATGCCCTCTAACTCCAGAGGAGGTAGCCTATCTTGTTAATTACTCCTCCAATAGTTTCTCTCTCTCTCTCTCTCTCTACATATAATGAGTGTTCAAACTGCAGGTTGGTCTTGTCTTGCGTGCTATGGGATTCGACAATTCTACCCGGATATACCTAGCAGCTGGTGAACTATTTGGTGGAGAGCGTTTTATGAAACCATTTCGTGCTCTGTTCCCTCGCCTTGAGAATCACAGTTCTGTAGACTCTTCAGAGGAACTAGTTACAAACACCCAGGGGTTATTAGGTTCTGCTGTTGATTACATGGTCTGTCTTCTTTCTGACATTTTTATGCCAACATATGATGGACCAAGCAACTTTGCCAACAATCTACTAGGCCACCGACTTTATTATGGTTTTCGGACTACAATTAGACCCAACAGAAAAGGTCTTGCTCCAATATTCATTGATCGAGAGAATGGACGGACAGCTGGTTTTGAACAAGCTGTTAGGCGTGTCATGCTTAAAACAAACTTTGGTGGACCTCACAAGCGGGTGCCACATGAATCATTTTATACAAATTCTTGGCCAGAATGCTTTTGTCAAGTGTCACCTAAAAATCCTGCTGACAAATGCCCACCGGATAATGTTTTGGAAATTTTAGACAGCCGGTTGGAGAATGAAGTGACTAATGATCCAGAAACCTTGGAGGAAACAAATTCCACAAGTGGTACTGAAAGATGAGAAATTTTTTTCAGATTTGCTACAGTTTATATCCTCCTAGAAACCTGAGAAAAAGGAACTGGTTTGTCTGGCCTTGTTGATCTTTTCAGGTAATCTTCAAAACTAATATCCGTTTCTTAGTGCTGCATTGAAGGAATTTTAAGACCATAAGTAATTCCTAGAGTATTGGAACATGTATTTTATCATGTTGTATCTGTTTTGACAAAACATTCAGGGAAAATTATAGTGAGCAGAGAAGCTAAAAATGAAAGTTTTTCAACTTAAACCACTTTGAATATATAGAACATGTAATAATTAATTTCTGAACTTTTTCTAGGAGATGCTAAAAAATCATTTGGTTATGCAGGTTTTTTACTTGCAGTTTGGAGCAAATTGGTTAGAGCACATGAAACCAAGTTGGTAATTGAGAAGGTATTTACCACAACCGAGATTGTTTTGTTTTACTATTAAACTCTACCGCTGTATTTTTCCACCAAAAAAGGAAAATGAGTTAAAAAAAAAAAAAACTAAGTTTTTGTGTGATATCTGATTGACCTAAATTATCTTGAGAACAAAGATGAAGCTTCTTATTTATGTGTTTTCCTTGAATGCCAGTATATTTGAGTTGTATATGACCAACATGCTATCTTAGATTTTTTATAGATGATCAATCTTGTTGCAAATGACAAAAAGTAGACTTGATAATTTTAAACTCGATACAATGCTATGATACAAAAATATATACAAAAGTGATATGGTTTAAAATTTTAACAAAAACTTTAACATGAATTTGGCAAAAATTAAAAATTATGTTTCATGTTTAGCATGTTAACACGAATTGTGGTATAACGATTTTCATGTTCAACATGAGTTTCTTGTTCAATATGTCAACATGAAATAGACAAGACACGGATACATAATTACAGATTAGGGAAAAAAAAAAAAGGCAAATGATACTGGTTTATCTTAATGGAATGAATTAACTTCAATAGTGATAAGGTGCTTGAGTTGAAATAAAAGTAAAATTTGGATGCAACATGTAGCTTCTCTCTGCATTTGGTGTGAAAACAGAGAGGACTTAGCAGCAAAATTTTATTGATCTTTTAGTAGAATCTTTACAGCAGAAAGTGATATTCAACTGCAGTTTTGCAAACCTTATAGTGCAAAGCATTCCATTGGGAATCTTACAGCTCTTCTTAGACTTCAAATGGGTTTTCAATTTTGGTTCACAAGTTGCATTGCTGTCTGGACACTTTGTGTTGTGCTGACAATGACGAACATCTGTTTAAGTTGATTATAGTGGCCATGAAAACCAGCCAGGCAAACTGAATTGTAAATCATCTTCGCCAGGATGCCCACAGCGAAATAATTTGGAGATTACTAGCCAAATATGTTGCTCAGTTGGGGTGCATTTGCAAGTCGCAGCAAACTTACATTGCTAATCAAGGCTGTCAGATTCAATCAAAATTGTTTGTACGTATACCAAACCATCTTTCTGAAAACTCAAAGCTCGATCTTTAGCTTATTGAATGGAGTTCCCCTCTTTAGCTCTTTAGTGTGAAAGCTAGGCTACTCAAAGCTCTTGCTTAGTGATAGAGGTTAGCTATGAGACTCCTAAAACCTTGAATTGGATCTCCTCTTGAAGTTGAAAAAACGACCTAATTGTTCGACTCCTTGTCGTGAAGTTTATAAACTAAAAAAATGACCTAATCGTTCGAATCTTTGTCGTAGAATATATAAATTATACGTCTCATGGTTGAATTATAAGTACTTACTTCACTTTTATTGACTCTATCCGAGGGCTTCTATTGGGAAGACTACTTCAATTTCTTCCCCTTTTTTCTTCCTCTGCTTTCTGGACCTGAAGTAATTCTTGCGAGTGGAAAATGTTTTGCTTTGGGAGTGCTGCTATTCCCTTTCCCTCCTTCGTCAGTCGAGTGGTTAGGTGAAAGGCTCAGGAACAAGGAAGGCATTTCCTTAAACTCAATTCAAGATCCACTGAGGGGTCTGGTTTGAATTAGCATTTTGTGATGTCCGAAATCCCTGGTGTCGACTCTTTCCTGGAGTAGCTTTGTGCCTAGAAACCTCTTCTCTGACTAGAGTCCTGCCCATGGGGTCGAACTGGATGACTGGAGGAAGTTAAGATAGAAATAGTATCTACCAGATTGAGACACTCCGACTGTCTTCCCCTCTTCTCTTGGACAAGAAAAATAGAAAAATTAACAATTGGAAAAGAAGGCTGCTGTCATGAATGGAGCTCATCTCCTCAGTGCTTGCAAGCCTTCACATCTATTGGTCGTCCGCTTTCAGGCTTCCGAAGACGTTCCGGGAGTGGAACCACACCACTCCCTTCAGCTCTTTTACTACCAGTAGCTCTAAAGCCAAATAAGAGGCTTTTATCGCTATCAAAGTCCTACCCTCGTATCCTCCTATTCAACAGATCAATAAGTTGGAACAATTTCGTAAGTCTATTTTTTATATAAAAATAAAAAGGCTTCGATTCAAACTATTTGATTTTCCAGGAAAAGTGGGGTAAAGGACAAAGGAATGAACGATGCCTACATTAAATCAATTGATCTGTCATGGTAGAGAAGCAAAACAGTGCATGGACGGCACTCGAGCTTCGTATCAATGTCCCCTGAAGCAAGGAGTATGCTCGCGTGTCCCAACGAGAACACCGAAAATACCACAACGGTTAATATACCAACGGGAGCCATAACCGATTCGGTGGAGCACCTTTTCCGATGTATATAAATCAAATTATTAAATATTTTGAACAAATCTTAAAATTCGAAACTTTCTGTTATCCAATAAAAACCTAATATTCTTAATAATAAACCCAAATCGCCTAGTCACAAACACTTTTTGACGAGTGTTTACTGCAACGGATTTGAAGAGGGTACAATAAGCATGGTGACGGTTTGCTGATACAAGAAGAAAATTCTGTATAAACAAGAAGAAAATTTTCTCAGATATTAGTGAGTAAATTTTATTTGGGTCATGTTATAAATGCCCTGGCTAAATCTATTGATGGTCAGAGTGAAATTTCAGCTTTTGAATCTTGAATTTTAATAAATTTCAGTTTATTGATCTCATCTTTTATGGAATCGATCTCCTACGAAAATATGTTAAGCTCAGCATGTCTGGACAAGCACAGGAGGACGTTCCTTCTATGCGAAAACATCTACAACAAGATTCGTTTTGCAAGCTTTGTTTCTTACAAATGTAAGAAATTAACACACCACATCCAGAGAGTAAAATTTTTAAATTTCACTATCAAAATTAAAAATTAATAAAATGACACATAATTTAAAATAATTAATTAATTAATAAAAAAATGTAATAACTTTTTAATTTTGCTTATGAAATTAAAAAATTATATTACCAATATATAAAAAAAGAACTCATAAAACAAATCCTGCGTATCTTTACTTCAAGATAACAATTTACCGAAACGGAAATAGAGGGAAACGTTCTCCCTGCATGTTAGCTCGTACCCCCAACCAATATACACCCACCAATATATATATATATATATATATATATATATATATATATACACACACACACACACATAAATATACACCCTCTAAGAGGCATCAACTTACATTAATGTGTAAAATTAAAAAATTTTATATTTTTTAACCATTAATTTTAATAGATTTAAGAGATAAAAGAAAAGTAAAAAAAGATAAAATTTTGTTTAATCCCATTACTTGGATCTATTAAAATCAATGATTAAAAAAATATAAAATTTTTTTGTGTAAGTTAAATCCCTTCTCTATGTATATATATACATATATATTCTGAAAGCAAGGAAAAAGGGTTGAGTGGGAACGTACAAAAAGAGACATGCTTGGTTAAATAAGCTTTAGCCCGAGGCTTGTGTGCGCAACTTATTTGCAACATAGAGCAAATGGCTGATATTTGCTGAGGGATAGTTTTGGAGTAGCTTAAGATTACAAGTAAAATCCCCAGCTAGCAGGCGCCTTCGAATGAGAATCAGCATCGCACAGCATACCCGAAGCAATGTCTCCTGCAAACACATGTATACTTGCTTTAGAAGAACTATTACCCATCCCCTAGCTTCTGTAATCATGTGTATTTGATTAATGTAACTTAAAATCAATGTAAACCAGAGGTATCATGTGAAAAGTCAACAATCCGATAACCAAATTAGGTACAATTCGGAAAGCCATCAACCCAACCACGTTCAAACAAATTTCAAAAAAGATGAGTAAAAAAAGTTTATAAACTCATCCAAAATGACTATAACCATTTACCAGCACCAACACTTCAATTTACAATTGTCATCACAAATACAGAGCTGAAAAATGTATCCTAATTCAATTAACCATACAAATGCGTAATATCACTGCATAAGTTAGATCACGTAATAAATCACATCACAAAAGCTCATATCTTAGTGGCTCTATCCCCAAAGTAAACCTAAAGATACGGCCAACCACCTCTTGACATGGCAGTAACTAGCAACTTATGGCACAAACCAAATCTTAGGTTCAAAGCCAGGCATCACCCATCTCCTCCCCTAATTCCCTAATGAGTTCAATAATAATAATAATAACTGGTCTAGCAAGCTAACAATCTCCAAGCAAAAATCTAGTGGGGGAGAGCTAAAAGTTGCAATCATACCAAAGGACCTTCAGGGTCACTTAGAAGCGTGTCCCAGATGTGAAGGCTGTCAGCAAAATTGAATTCCTGTGTCAATAGCAGAGTAATCCACCTAAATGCGTAAAACTGGGGGTTGACCTGTGATATATATATACACAGCAGTTAGCGATAAGCTGAACTAATTGCCTTGGCAGGGAGGGAAGAAATGACAAGGAGGAACATGGGTGGTGTTTTACAGGAGGTGCAATTGGTGGTAAGAGGCAAGCATGAGTAAAGAAATAAAATATGACAAGGACAAGGATAGCACCAATACACTGCAGGAAGACATTTAAATTTTGCAATGATATCTTACTTTAGTTGTGACCTCTAGATGACGCCAAAGCTCTTCATCATGTTCCTTCAGAAGCCGTGACAACCTAGTAATTGTGGAACGAATTCCCACACTGCTGTTGTCAAGTTGCTGGCAGAAATGATCACGGAATCCACTCAGTAGCTCAACAAAACAAAAGAATGAGTCAGCTTCAGCAGCGGCCTGCAAGACTTAAATAGGGAAAATGATGAAGAAAATAATAAAGCATAGCATAACATTACTCTTAACCATACTTGATCATAATAACAAAGGAACTATGTTATTTTTAAAATGGTTATTGGCAATGTAATTGGTCTATGACTATCTGCTTTCATATAATTCCATACCTTTAGAAGCATATAAAAATCTTACTTATATGTGTCAGCTAAGTCAATAATGATAACAGGACATCAACATTTTTTTTTCCACAAGTATCCATTTGAAAATTTCCCTCAACCTATCCTTTTTGGTTGCTTGGACAAGAAAAGGGATGGAGTGGCAGCAATGGAATCACAGACAAAACTAACCAAAAATAAACTGGCAAGCTAAGTTGCTGAGAGCTTCCATGGATGAAGGGATGTGGGTCGCAAAGCAGTACAAAGAGGTGGAAGGTTCCAAATGCAAAACACCCTTTTTGGTAGCACCAACAAGGTGGACACTGAGAAAAACATTAATGCAAATACACAAAACCCAGAATATTTTACTTCAAGGATTCAAACCAGGGAGGCAATGGTAAATCTTGACATTTGATTTTGAGGAGGCCAACTAATATAATTTTTTATGAGACTGTTTTATTATACTTATTAGTATCAATATATATAGATATAAAAAATATATTAATAAAAAATGAGTATATAATATTATAAAAGAAAATTATTATTATAACAAACGTTTAAAAATAAAATAACTTTTAACTTAGTAGTCGAATTATCAATTACACAATCTTTCAATGAAATATGAAATCTTCTTTATTTTTTTGATAGTTTAAATCTGTAATAAAAAAGCAAACAAATCAATATTTTTTATTGGCATAAATCTATGGAATGATTGTTAAAAAATTATACAAACAAAAAAAAAACATCTTTCAAAAATGAAGAAAATTTCAAGATTGAAAATCAATGGCGTTTTTCTAACTTTTTAAAGTTGTTCTAATATGATTTTTATGTTGAAAAATATTGCAAGACAATATTAGTTAAAGATCTAGAGTAATGAAAAGTGAAATATGACAAGGAAGAGAAAATTTGTAATTAGCTAAAAAAAAGGAAAAAAAAATCAACATTCATGTGCTGGGAGAAAAACATATATAATACTTGGTTAGAGACTTAATATTGTTGAAAAAGCTAGAAAGCTAAAACCACATGATTGTGATTTAAAATAAATTATAAAATTCTTGATACCATAAAAAGATAATGTGATTTTAACCCTTTGAATTGTAGTGCACAAAATTAAATTATGAAACCATCAAAAAATAAAAAATTAGTACTTTTAGTGTAGGGGAACCAATTTAAATTTATTTAACCAAATATATATACATATCAAAGGATTTCCTTTATTATTTTTTTTTTTTTTGGGGGGGGGGGGATGTTGGGAGGGGGAGGGGGGGCCAAGGCCCCCTCAAGCATACATTACGGTCCGCCATTGCATGGAGGCTTGGACATCCTTAGCTGTAAAGACTGTTCATTGCACATCTAGAGGTTCATTTTCTCAGTCTTTTATTTTTTAAAATATTTTCTTGTTCATAACCTTTTCTGAAACTTGCTTCCATATTCAATGCATGAAAATCAAAACAATCACTGCTTTTATATGTGTTTCTTTTTTTTATTTTATTTATTTATTTATTTATTGCCAAAAAAATGCGGCACCCACATGAACAACACATACAAACACAAAGGTAGAAATGGCAATGAGACCAAACAGACACTGAATTATGTTCTTTACAATTTAATAGATTATTCTTTTTAGATAACGTTTCCAAAAACATGAGATATTGTTAAAGTATAAAGGCAAGCATGTTAGAGATTTTAATCTAAAAAACTAGATATGTAGGATAAAGAGATCTTACCGCCATTTCCTCATCAGGGTCATTTCTGAATACATAAAATAGAGGTGCCAAGATTTCATTCATCCCTTGAACATATCTTATACCCGGATTTAACTTGGCAAATACAATTAATATATTTTTCAATGCATCCTGAGTAAGCAAGGTACATATAAGTCAGAAATGACTTCAATTCATATCAAAACTCAAGTCAAAAAGAGTAAAACAATAAAATCACATGAAAGAATACCTGATTAAACTTTGCAAGCTGTGAGTCCCCAGAGAAGAAGTGCATGTCTGGGTGGGTGCGCTTCACATCTCGGTCAATCTGCTCTATGATTTCTGAGTCCTAGGATAACCCCAAAAAAAAATTTGAAATCAATACACTCCATTCATAAGTTAAAAGTACAATGCTTATTAAAATCCACTCACTCAAGTCCTCTGTCTTGAACTTTAAAAAAAAGAAGTTTCAAATAATTGGGCTCATCAACAACAATATGACAAACATTCCAAGAAGGCCAAGCAATGTAAGGGGAAAAAACTCTCTTTTCTGAATTATGCTAAATCAGGAAAACTCTATAAGTGCTTGAGAATACAAAAATCATTGACAGATTCTATTAATAATTGGAAATCAATACTCCCAATATTCCCCTCTTGTATACACTGGTATAAAAACACAGAAATAATACTCAGCTCCTGCACTCTCAACTAAGCATTGACCAAAAACGAGTTGGCTGAACTGCATTTTTTTTTCTTTTTTCCTTATTTTACTTTGGTTAGGACATGCAATCAATAAGAAGATTAGATGCTCTTGTCTTTCCTACTACAATGTTAAACAACATTAACAACTATAAATACCAAATACCAGCCTCTAATAATAATAGAGACAATCCAATGCAAAAAAGACTTGACTATTCTTCGTAAATTAAAGCTAAAGCTAATGTACAGGATAGATACTGTGATGCTAACATTCTAAAAGCTGCATGGTAGTACAAACTGCCCCAGAAATAACCAGTATGAAGACTAATGGGGTGACCCACATTTTTAAAACTTAGTTACTTCAAACAGCAATGATGCTTTTCCAACTGGGATGCATGACAGCGTGAGGACTATTTTTGCCAATTGCAAAGAATATTTCCATCATGCAAGACACTATTGAATCCTTCAATTACGCAACCCAGTAGTATTTTACATTAAACTGTAATACCCCTTCATTGTTTTTTCACTTCTGTGTATATAATTGCTATCCCTCAATCTCTTTTTTTCTTTCCCTAATGTCAACTAAGCACTAGAAGTCAGGCTCTGATGAAAACAAATGAACTAATTTAATGGAAAATGGCTCAACAAAGTGTTTAAAATCTTTATTTAAAGCATTAAACATAAAAGAACACATGATATGAAGTATGGCTTCCAAAAATTGATTTTCAAACAAGCCTAACAAGATACCTGGAAGAATTGATTCCAGATGCTGCTTTTCCCAAGGCTCAAAGGATGCTCTCCATGAGTTATATGTGATCTAGACAGCAAACCACTGCTTTCAGATTTTGACTTATCATTGTCACAAACCCCGGACTTCTCCAGCCTCCTGGTGATTTCTGTCTGACTAGCCACAGAAACATTCAGAAATCCAAAACTCTTATAGAAACAGAGAGAAAGAGAGCAACCACACAAGATAACACTACTTTTCAGGCTGATAATGCTAAAAATGAGGAAAGTTAAATAAAATAAGTAATAATCAAGCATCATTTTGTTGTTAGGAGGAAAAACAATAAACTGAACGAGTGAAAGTAATTGCAGTACTGTGCAGCCACCAAGACAGGGCTAAACTTCACTTTTTCCCCTATTAACATGGTCAGTTCCATGTTCTAGCTATCTGCCAATCTCAGTTTTGTTTCAGTTCTTATCCACTTCATGCTTTTAAAAATACTGTTCAAATTTTACATTTCCATACCAAAGAAATTAATCACATCATAATGTATAAAGATATAGTAATGTAATCAGAGTCAGTCATTCACTATTTTAACATGCAAAAGGTAAAGAAAAAGACTTACAGGATTCATCAAGAGCTCCTCCTTAAAATGCCTGTACTGAGACCTTTTCTTAGCTAATTCAGACGACCATTGCCCACGATCAGGTGGTAAATACCCTAATAACAACTGCCACATCACCCAAAAAAACCCCTATCTCAGTATTAATCCAAAAAATAAAAATAAAAAACTCACTTTAAATACATCAAAACTAAAGGTTCATTCGATCCAAAGACCAGAAATACCGGGAATTTCCACAATTTTCTAATTTCTCAGCAATCAAACGGCAAAAAAACAAAAAAAGAATAATTACCTTCCACACAGTGGACTTGATTCCTGCACCATCAGGAATCCCCTGCGACGCAATCCTCCGTAATTCCCGCATATTTATCACCTTCTTTGACAACTGACAAGGAAAAATCTAGAACTAAAAAAAAAAAAGAAAAAGAAGAAAATCAGCTAAGAAAAGGAGAATCAATTGAAAACCTCGGCCAAGAGCTGAGCCTGGCGAGAGATATCATCGGGAGAAACGGCAGAAGAGTCGCCGTTTTGATCGTTATCATTGCTATTGTTGTTAATATTTTTATTAACTGGATCTCTGATTTCGGATTTCGGAGGAGTAGGAGTGGACTGAGGTATTGAGGCCGGGGCGGGAGGAGGCACTGGAACTGGAGGCCGAACAGTTGGCTCGGATACGGCGGCGGAGGTTGTAGTAGTGGTGGTAGGAGAAGGGGAGTAGCGGTGGAGGCGATCGTCGCTGGGGGTTGTGGACCAGAGCGAACTGTTGAGCCAATCAGGTACTCGCTTCATCGCCATTTCAAGATTGGAATCGAGATTTGCTCTTTTTAGAAATAAAGAAAATTAATTAATAAAATTTTAAAATTAGGTTACGAAGATTGAATGTGTGAAGTCGAAGACCGTTTGAGGGACTGAGGGACTGATTTCGGAGTCGACGACGTGTAATTTCTTTTTATCCCCGTTTCCTCTATCTGTTCTTCTCTTCTTCTCCTCGTAGAGAGAGAGGACGTGAAATAAAAGATGAAGTGACAGGACGGTGACGACAAGGACGTCAAGGACCAATGACATTTATGAAATTTTTAATATTAAAAAGACATTTTTAGTAGTTTTCAATTTTCAATTTATATCAATATAAATGGGAAATAATGCAACATTAATTATTTTCTATATCAAATTAATTAACGAGTTGATTAGTGACATCAAAGAGAGAATCTAATTTCATTTTTAATATTTTTTTAATTGCCAAATGGAAAATAGTTAGAAATGTTATCAAATCTACTATTTATAATATAAAATTTATAATTTATATTTATAATATCATTGTTAAAATAATCTTACTTCAAAATTATTTGTAATTGAGCCGAGTTGGAATTTTTCATTTGATGGAATTGAGCTAGACTAATTATTAAGTTTATAGATGGTAAAATGAATTCAAACCCAAAAATTTGCACATAAAAAAATGAATTTGAATCTATTTAGGCTTTAAATTTATCAAAAATAAAAAAAAAACTTTGAATATAAAAAGATATAAACTTTATCACAATTTGTAATGACCTGAACTTAATATGAAAAATATAAAAGTTATTTTAATTTTATTTTAATTTAAACTTAAAATAATTTAATTTAAAAATTATTTAAATTTTAAAAAAATTTAAATACAATATAATATGATGATACGATATAAAAACGTTACAAATAAAAGATAAAGAGATAATACGACTTAAAATTTAAAAAACAACCACAAATAAATTTAATAAAATTAAAATATTTTATTTTATATTTAAGCATCGACATAAACTATAATATACGATTTTTATATAAAATATTATACAAATATAATTTTACATTATATAATAACACGCATTACTAAATCCATAGACAGATAAATATAATATCTAAGCCATATGAAGAATCTAGTAAGAAACAGTTTCACAAGCAAAAAGTAAGACATCCAATCCTCATATTAGCTGTTGCTTTTGAAATTATCAAGTTGGTTTATGTTTGCAGCAGCTGGCACAGAAACATGGGCCCATGATTCTTCGGATTGTAGTTTTGGACGATGCAATCTTTTTAGTCATCGTGTTCTACATTATTACATTGCTTAAAGAAGAAGTGGGACACTTGATTGGATATGCATCAAAAAATTTTCAAGTGAATCTATGTTCTTTTGGTTAAGTTTTGATTCCTTTGGTTATGCAAAAGATTTTACTCATTGGTTTGGACTTTGGTTCTGGTCTTGTTCCATATGAATGATTGCCATCAGCTTCAATAAGATTCATACAATCTTGTTGGTCTGGAACATAATTGAACAAGTCCATTTTTAAGCTGTAATGCTCTAGTACGTTGACAGGCTTGGGATTATCATATCCTATGTTATTTGGACACGGGTTAGTGTTAGATACGAATATGTATCCAATACTAGGTATGTCATTTATATCCAACACGAGTACAATCCTTTTTTTTTTTAATTTTAATTTATTCATATATTTAAAAGATCAAACCTCTATGATTTAATCATAATGATTATGTGTAGGATATAAATACTTTAAAATAAATGAACAGTTAACGATATAAATTTGAAATTTAACTCAATTGATAAGTGATTTTTTGTAATAAATTAAAAATTATAGATGCAAATACCGCAATAAATGAGTTAAAAATGAAAGAAAAAAAAATCAGCTCACAGGATAATACTGTGGTTTCACTTTTTGGTAAGCAGTTTCTCACAATCTTCCTTATTTCATGTCAAATCCATTATTTCTGCTTTCTTAGTGCGTTAACCCCTTGGAAAGTGAGTAAGAGGATTGGCATAATAGGTGATTTGCCTGAATTTCACCATAGCAAGATATGAAATGCAGAGGACAAGTTACTGTTGATTAAGTTACTCATTGGTAGACTAAGATACAGCTGATTAAGTTGCAATTTCCAGTTTCCACAAGGCATACTAGAGGATAAGGTCATCTGCAAACAAGAGAATTGTACAATTTATTTTAGCCATTCAATAAACAGATTCAAATATGCATCAAACAACCATTAGTAGCTCTTAGATGGACCATGTTATCTTAAGAACTGGTGTTATTTATTCTAAGAACAGATTAACCAGAGCATTTAACCCAAAATATCCCCTTATTCTTCAGTTAAAAGATTAGCAACCAATCTAGATAGATGATATTTTTTCTAAGCAGAGTTAGATATAGGATTTACCCCAGTTTACATTCACAGTTGTGGAATTTGACATGTACTTGGCAATTGCAATGTGTTTGGCCAAGCACGTTTTGGTCAGCCACTCATGGTTGAACCTTCTTCTTAACGTTTAGTCCTTTTGAAGGAACGTTTATGACATGATCAAGGGCCTGTCCCTTCCCAATTCAAGCCTTGAACTTTATTTTCTTGAAATTTACTAGCATACAATTTGACTCATCCTGAAGTACCTGCATTATAGAAGGTCAATCTCATGCTTCGAAGTAAGATAAAGCCTTCATCAGCAGTGCCAAGTGAAATGGATGAGAGGCTGAAGATTCAAACTATCTTCTATCCCCATTAGATCATAAAAGAAACTGGAACGAAATAATTAGGTACAGACATTGAAGAATAGCTACGATATAGAAGCAAAGGCATTGATGGTATATGGAGGGCCTTTAATTTCAACCATTTAGGTAAAATGAAAAACAAAAGTTCTGCAATCTGACAAGATATTGGGAGATGCAGCCACCTAACCACCTCAGAAGCCAGTATAGAGAAAGATGATGACAACCGAAAAGAGTAACTGGATCTGGAGAAACAGATGTGCTTTATACTATTGACATTAACTATGTACGCATGAAACATCCAATCATTCATGTGATGAAATGTGCAAAGTTCTAAAAGTCCATTAATGTTGCTTTTAGGTTTAGACTTTCGACAAGCAGAAGGAACACTTTTTGGGCATTGAGGAATGGAAGATACCAGTCAAGAAAGCCATTAACCTATTACCTATGGGCTACATGTCATGACAATCCACTGACCACCAGTTTCTTCAATTCTTCCCACAACAGAAGGGATAAAAAACATGTGGTGCAGAAAGGTCCATAAATTACTAAGTTGGCACCAGATCAGCTATAATGCATTCTAAAACAGGTCTACATACAGATTTTCCATAAAAAGATTATTCGAAATAAACCAAGTAGAAACACTAGTGTGTTATTAACGGCAAAACAGTTTAATGCTGATGTTACTTACCATTTCACTAATAATCTCCATACAAGCAGGCCCCAACATTGAAATGATGGAAGCGCTTAATATCTCTCGATACTATCTCTTTTTGGTTCATCTTACTAGCGTATTTCATCAGAGAATGGCAATCCCCACATACTCTTAAGTTATTCATTATCCTGATGGATGCCCCCTGAGAAGTGTCGATTAAGGCAAACGCAAGGGCCAACTTCTCACTGTGACTTTGCAATGCATCTTCCTTCTCTTCTTCCTCAATGTTATGAAGTACACACCCAGTTTCAGGCATGTATCCTTGTTCTCTTGCACCAGCCACTATTTCCTCTAATTTCAAGTATGTCTCTCTTGCATGCTTATGAGCATGATCACCAGCTACAAAACTATGCACTTGTCCTTGAACTTCAATATAACTCCACAGTGGAACTTTGTCAACAGCCCAGTTCTGCATCAACATTCTTACTCTCTCCACATCTTCCCATCTCCCAACTGCAGCATAAACATTTGACAAGAAAACATAGCTCCCAGGATGTTTAGGTTCAAGCTGAAGGAGTTTCTGTTGACACTAGTTCTGCCATTTTAATATTTTTGTGAGCCCTGCAAGCACAAAAAAGTGCTCCCCATGTCACAAAATCAGGACTTACAAGCATGCTTTCGATGAACTTCATTGCTTCGTCCAGCCTGCCTGCCCTGCCTAACAAATCAACAACCAATGTATAATGCTTCATGGTTGGCTCAATGGAGTAGTCAAGCCTCGTGCTTTCAAAGAAGTTAAGCCCAAGATTTACTTGCCCAGAATGTCAGCATGCGGTCAGGAGGGCAAGAGAGAACACCCCATCAGGTTTTATTCCTGCAAACATGACAAGTTTGTGTTTATTAAGAAAGATTAGAATACAGAATTAAGCTCAATAGAAACTACTAAGTCTACACCTTAAAACATCATCTTTTTGAAGCATTGGATAGCTTGCCCATAGTATCCATGGAATGCCCAACCCCATATCATGACATTTCAGGTAAGAATGTCCTTCTCTTTCATCTCATCAAAAACCTTACTAGCAGATAGGATACTTCCACACTTTGCAGACATATCAACCAAAGCAGCACCAATTGCCTTATTCAACCAAAAACCATTTACCAAAACATAATCATGGATATGCAGTCCGGCTTCAAGCGCACTAATTTTAGCACAAGAAGAACGAGCAGAAACAAGAGTAACATCATTAGCCCTCAAACCAGCCTCCAACATCTTAAAAAACATTGATAATGCATTCTGATGATTTCCATTCTTCGAAAAACCATTAACAATTGTAGTCCAAGAAACCGCATCCTACTCCTTCATGTTATCAAAAAGCCGCATTGCTTTATCCAAATCTCCGTTTCTTGTAAACCCATTTATCAAACTATTCCAATACCCACTATTCCTCTCAGGCATAGCCTCGAAAAGCTCTATAGCTTTCCCCAAATTCCCCTTTTTACAGTACCCATTAATCAACACAATTCCACAACAATATACTCCCACTCTTCTTTCTCTCAGGACTTTCATCAAACACTTGCAACAAGAAACTCATTCCTCCAGTTTTACATACATTCCCACTAATGAAAACCGAACGAATGAATCAAACTCCACCCCAGATTTGATTATCCTTCCATGAAGGATCAGACCAAGGCAACGAAGACCCAAAGCAAGATTTGAGCACAGAAGGGTAAGTAAGCTTATTAGGGCGAACTTTACGGCTCAACATGAGGAGAAAATGGGAAATTGAGGATTGGAAATGGAAATTCTCCGTTAAGCTACGGATCAGGGCGTCAAGAAGGAATATAATTTAGTGATGGAAATGGTTGAAAAGGGACATGG